ATCACACCTGAGTTTTCATGCTTTCTAGGATTTTGCCAACAAAAGGAAAACAGAAAATAAACAAGACTTTTTGCCTTTTGAAAGCCAGAAGGAATGGTGCAGCTGTTTCCAAGACTGCTATGTTCAAGCTGTCACATGAACATGGGATAGAAGACATTCTTGCTTTCCAGTTATGTTTTAGCACAAATGTATTCCATTTGTTTGCTGCAACATATTTTCCCTTTAACACATATTTTTAATCAGAAATTTTCCTAATAACATGTTTATTCAATGTTCAGTTAAAACGAGATTTGGATTTTTACAAGTGTATAGATGTTTACAAATCAATTAATTAGATATTATTACTGCTTCAACAGTATGACATGTAGCTACCTGAGAACTTACCACTATTGACAAATGGGTTTGGTCAGATTTTTACTTTACAGACCATAAGAGCAGCTGATTTCTGGGAGTTGCCAGAGAGAGTGGAGGGAATTGGCTGTAACTCCCCTTTAGTCCCCTGGTCTTATTATTTATTTAGCTGATATATAAGCACTTCAGCCCAGATTTTAATTTTATTCCCATTCCTAGCAATTTTTTTGGAAAAATGGGGTAATAGGTAAATGATAGGTGTTTATCTCTCTTAGAAATAGATGGACATTAGGTGCTGAGAGTGATACCATGTATTTGCCTGATCTCTTTTATTATTCTGGCAGGGTATATGCCTACAGCCTGCAGTTCCTGTTTTAAAACTCCAGCAAGTATGAGAAGTTGAAAGAGTAATTGGGACTACAGAGAGAGAATCAGGCTGAAGGAGTGTCCTATCTTAGTGTTTAGGAATGAGATATAGTAGCTATGATAGTACTAGGCAAGCTCAACCTTTTCAGCATGTAAAAATTATGTCTTCGAATGTTCACTCATATAATGCTGCCTGTTTGTAGCTTAATTATTGTCAATGAACCATAGTGCATGTGGCATTTATACTAAACTGAGAAAAGGTATGATTTTGTTTATTTTACGTTGTGTTTCTTTGTCTCAAATACCTGTCTTGCACTGCCACCCAAAATACATTACTGCCACTAAAAGCACTATAAAATGTTGGATCTGAAAATCACTGACAGAGGTTGGATGAAAGTTACTTTTTCTTTTAAGAAAGGCTTGTTAGAGTTTATTTCTGGCTGAAAGATAAAACACAAAAAGAAGGGATGGTAACAAAAACCCACTTCCTCTTATGGTGATTTGGCTCACCGCAGAATAAATATTTTACAGGTGTTTCTCACTCCAGAGCTAGGTAAACTGAAAACATGTATTAGTTTTGGGGATTTTTTTAATCAACCATGTTAGTTGGAAAGAGATATCACATTTGAAGTTGTTAGCTGTTACCAGTGAATGACTTTTCATCTTGTATTTCTCTGTGCTTTGCTCATTAGAAAAAGATCTGTGACTTTTCATGTAACTGGCAGGTGATAGATCTGGCTCCTGTTCTGTCCTAATTTATTCACAGTAAAATATGTTGGCTCACAAAATGTCTGTCCTTCCAACCAAAATCACAACCAAGGAAGCTGGAAAGAAATTGAAGCTTGCTGGAACACAGTAGCCATATTCCCAAGAAGCTCTAAAATGGCTGGTGGGGAATTTTTTTTCCTGTTCTTGCTGTAGTTTTTAAACCTCCATCTATCTCCTTAACACTCCCAACTGGCCCAAATACGTCCGTTTGCACTGAATCACTATCTTCTACAGAGGTGACTCTTTTTTTTTAGGCTTAAGTGAAAGACTGAATTTCACATGCTATTTGACATTAACTGAAAAGAGGCATATCAGGTCTACTGGTGTGCCTACCAGTCTACTAAAAGAATTCAGGGCAGACCATTTGGAGAGAAATACTTAAAATAGAAATTATGTAAACTTAATGTAAGAGACAAGCTATGTATGAAAAGAGGAGAAAACTTTTTGCAAGGTATACAGTGAAGAAAAGGAAAAAGCATACATATGATTTTACATATTTTATGTATTATTTATTCTAGTATTGTAGTTATATATGAGAAATCAGTAATAAGCAATTTAAAATCTTGGCACTAAGGTAAATGCACATTTTTGTTCTGTATAGCTCTTTTGTTGTGTAGTATGTAGTGATAGCAACAGTTTTTGATCCAGACAGGTTCTTCCTCAGCAGTTACAGACAGACTTTGAAATTGGCATCAGACAGCTCATACAGACTATCTCATTACATAGCTTCCTCCAAAAGTATCCTGATAAGAGCATATGTTTATATAAGGAAACAATCTTAACGGAACTTTTTGGTAACAGGCTATCTTTTAAAGTAAACAAATCTGAAAGTGTTTCATTACCTATCATGCTTGTTTTATCAAGGATTAGTGAAATCAGTGTTAAATTTAACAGCTTCAAAGGAGTAATCTTTTCTCTGCCATCTGTGGTGCCCTCTACTGCACATCTTTGTAGAAGCAAGACAAACACTGATAACTGCATCGGTTATATTGCTTTTTTCACATTTTTATTTCCATCCTAAGATTTAATAATAGTTCATTATTTGTTTTCCTAATAATTTTCCTTCTAGTATCTATAAAAAATGCAGTCAGTATTTGCAATAGAGGGTTTTGGTTTTTTTTTTGGTTGGTTGGTTGTTTTTTTACAAGCAGAGTTTAAAAAGGGGAAATAAAGAAGGAAGTCTTTAATAAATGAACCTACTAGTTCATTTATTGATTGTAGGTCATTTACCAGTCATTTTCTGGATCTAGTTTATGTGGTTATATATATGTGTATATATATTTTCATGTATGTGTGCAATATTAAGGTTGAAGTGTGGAAATTTTTGTTATTGTTGCTTGTTTTCCAATCTCTGTTTTGTTAACTCAGGTATAAACATTGAGTATTTTGGTTATGCTTTCTTATAGTTGCTGTTTGCTGTTATGAAGAAGAAAAAAGTCATAAAATTAGCTTCTCACAAGTTGATGGATGTAGTTTTGTTTGCAGACTGTTGCTAGGGGCATGATATAATTTTGTCAGTTCTATATCAAACAAAAATCTGTTGATTTCGATGTTGAATTGTTGGACAGAACTACAGAGATTTTACATAAATATTTCCGGAGTGATCTCAAGGTACCTAAAGGCCAAAGACTTAAGATGCAATATCTGAAAATTTCAATTTATTAATTCCCCTTTCTTTGGCTTGCCTCTATTAATTGAAGCACTTTGTGTTCATATCATCATAGCCTGAGGTTTTCCTTGAATAAATCAATGCATGAATTTTTTAATTACCTACCCAAGCTGGATTTGGACTGCTTACTCTTACAACTACTGAAGAAGAAAGGTTCCACAGTAGCAGCTAATGGAACAGCAGGAGAAACCAGCTGCCTCCAACATTTTAAGCATTATGTCATCTAATTTGCTAACAAGTCTAAACATCGCAACATTCAAAATGCTGTTGGCAGTGAGCTAGATGCAGCATAGCTTCCAATATTACTGACTGCTGTGCATAAAAGACGATGTTATCAACAGTTGGCTTTAAAAAATTTTCTCTAGAAAGGAGAAGCCATAAGATATTTATCTCCTAAATAACTGCTAACACTCTCAGAATGACCATTATCAGGCAGTCAGTTACAATGAGGTAGTTAGGAGTTGAAAATACACTTAGGCATGTAACTGCCAAGGTAAAAGCAGTTTAAATTTCTAGGATTTGCTTTTTTCATCAGCAAGCTGCCAGTGACAGAGCCCTGATCTCTGCACTCAAAACCCACTGGAGAAACTGAGCATCTGGTTCTGCTCCAGGAGTACCCGGGGCTGGGAGGGAGCTCTTTTGGCAACGAGCAGGAACTGGCCATACACTGCTGCGCTCTTCTTGCCTTCACAATGTCTCCCAGAAGTACTGAAGTTTCTGAAGTGAAAGAGGAGACTGAAATTTTTGTACTAAAAGGTGAACACGTTTTGTAGAAAAAAGGTGAACAACAGATACAAAATGGTAATCGCATGTGGGGTTTCTTTTCAAATTTGCAGTCTGTCTCTGGCCATGTATTGTCCATTTTGAAGAGATTCCTTCTGGCTAAGGATGCTGTATGAACCATAAAGCTCCTGGTTCAGCTGCCAGCTTACAAACTTTAGCATCTTTTTCTTAAATCTTGGCTTCCTTGGAAGCTGGTGATTCGTGACTCTTAGAATTGGGTGTTTATTGTTTGTTCAGAACACAAGTTTTTAACAATGTATTGAGAAAGATTTGAAAACTTATCCCAAGTCTATTCTAAAACTTCAGAATGCTGAAAGCAAGTGATAAAAATAGTGTTAAATCTTTACTCTCAGTAGAAATTGAATTCCATTTCAGGGAAGGAAGCTGATTTTTCATCGCTTGGAGTAGCACTGGAGCTTTCAACTTTTTCAGCTTTCTTCCAGGCACTAAGAACCAGCAGGAGAAGACATTTGGTATTGAGGGGAAAAAAAGTGCTGGTCATTCAGAAAGGATGAGAAAAGTATTGATAAGCCATTTGTCTGCTTTTTAGCCAGTCGGGCCAGATTTATTCCAGTGACCCTGAGATCTGGGTGCTACAGAGCTTGTGATTAAATGTCTGCTCACATACAGCAGCTCCAGAGGCAGTTTTGAGGTTCAGCTCCCAGGTCAGTCAGGAAGGGCGGGAGAAGGTCCCACCAGGTAGGGTGGGCGGGACCACCTCTTATCTGTTAGCAAGAGCGGAAGAAGCCATTGGTCAGTCAGAAGGAGTGGGAAAAGCCATTGGTCAGTCAGAAAGAGCGGGAAAAGCCATTGGTCAGTCAGAAAGAGCGGGAAAAGTCCTCAGTCAGGAGGAAGGACAGTGCCAGCTCCTGTCTGTGAGAAAAGGACAAAAAAACCCTTAATCAGTCAGCGAGGAGGGGTGGGAAAATCTTGACTTTCATTTCTACAGAAATCTTCTGCTTTTTCTCTCTGGCCCTATGGTTGGGCCTCACATTGTGAGTTTTAAGTGCAGCATGCCTTTTCTAATTTATTTGGTAATTTATTTTGCCTCTTTTAAAAACAGCTTCATCCCTTCCAGAGAAGTTGGATTGGTCTGCACCAATCTTCATGGAGGACCACAGTGTGTGTTCCACCGAAGTGCCAGCTGGGAATACGGCCAGCTTCAGGGAAATCTGTCTGTCTGGTGATGAGAACCACATCCCTAGGTAAAAGATGTGAAAAATAGCACCCATAATCTTCTGTGGTAATGCACCATTGCACATGATGGGCTTGTGCAAAAGTGAAAATGGTACTCCCCTACAAAAACAAAAAGGCTCTCACACTTCAGACAGCATGTCTGTTCCCTCAGACCTCATCAAAAAGTCTGTAGATACAGACAGAAATACAGAAAAGCATGAAAAAAACCAAATATCCTGAATTTCACTAACAAAAAACTCTCATCAGCTTTTTAAAGACTCTTTCTGTACACAGTATATCAGCCTCAGAGGCTAGGATAGACTGGGAGCATCTTAAAAGTGTTTTAAATGGAAAAGGAGGTCTTTGTAATGAGGTATGGAAACCACATGGCTTTAGTGATGCACAGTTCTGGGTTTTGGAGTGTGTTGGTTTATTATACTGTAGATTTTTATTTTTAACTGTTTCTCTTGTGTGTTTATATTTTTTTGCTTGCTAAAGGTGCTGTAATATTAACATTTTATACTATTAATGTTGAAGATACAGAAACAAGTATCTACTCATGCTGCAACCTGTTAGAAACGATCAGGCAAACCCTGTGAGATATACAGTGCCTGTCCCTTCTCTGCTCAGATTTCGCTGTTAATTAAACCAGAGTGAATTTTAAGTAGGCATACTTGGCCAGTATTGTATGTTTGCTTATTAAAATTCAGTTAATCTCTGCAAAAAGAGACAGAATATCAGCAGGGGGTACACAGAGAATTGCTGTCCTCCTCCTCCTATTTTGCCACATTTACAACTCCTGTTGGCCAACAAATTATGAAATTGGGATTGGAACAGAAACATGGACTTTCAAATTCCACAGCAAACTTTGAAGTACATCTGGGATATTAAGATAGTTACAGTGGACAGAACAAAACGAATAAGTAAAATATTTATGACAAAGCAATGATGTGGTTTAGATTTCCTGTCTTTTCATCTATTCGCACATATTTCTATGGTCTTCAACACACTTATTTTTATTATGTTGGAGGTTTACACCACAATCAGCTTTGCTTACCTATTTTACACTTACTATTTGCTGCATTACACATTTAGCTCACCAGCCAACCATTTGCTCTGTGCTTGATAGAATTTCTATTTTGGGTATAGCAGTGAGATGTAGGATTTTAATTGAAAGGAGGAGACTATGAGTCTGAAAGTTAGGGAACCTTGGACTCAGTTATGAAGCTATTATACAGTAGAAAATTAATTTACATATTGGCTGCATGACCAGGTCTTCTTGCATTATCAGCACTGCAAATGCTTCACTGCTTTACCTTTGTAAAGCCATGAGTCTCTCTGTGTCCAAGTTTATTAATCTGAAAAACAGAAAAGGTCTTCCATTTATGTTTGTTGGATGGTTTAATATTATTGAACAAGAATGTTAGTAATACTAGTAGAGAATTTTTATACCGATACTATTATGAATAACATTTTAAAATAAAAGGTTAATACTTTCCAGAAATTGCTTTCGAAAAATTATACTCCAGTTTCAGCAGAATGAGGACTAAGTAGAAGCTGAGCTACAAGTTGAAGAAAGATATTCAGCTGATAGAAGAGAACTTCAGTGATACTTCATTACTGTTTAGGGAACTCATAACTAGGTTTTAAAAATCATTCTTGCTGACTTTCTAACAGTGGGATAATTGATTTTGTGTGGTGTGCACTGGTATTGACTTTTTTTTCTTAGTATATTACTTAATGACAAAATTGGACTTTGCTGATAAAACTTTGAGCTAAAATAAGTTTTGTCTATTCTTTTAATTTCTACCTGAAATTATGATGGTATATAGTACACTTGTAATTTTAAGGACAGCTGAAATGTTGGAGTCAGATGGCTTACGAAAATAAAAAGCATCTGTCATAACACTCAAACCAGCCTAGAGTTTTGCTGTAAGGGATCTGCTGCAAGGTTACTTTGTCTTTTTAGGTGAAAGATACAGATTTTATTCTTCTCCCAGTGCATCTGTTGAGACTAAGCCTTCACATAATTAAAACCCTTAACAGTTTGTTCAGGGCAGAAGATCAAAAGGTTAACATGGAATGGTACAACAGGAAGTATTTGTACTCTTGAACATTTTTTAAATTTACAGCATTTAAAAACGACTTAGCCCAAATCATAGCCAAAGCCAATATTACATCATTTATAGTAAAACATTAATCACTAGTCACTAACCAGCCAGTTGGTCTAAAAGTTCAGCTGGTGAAAAATTTGATGTTTTCAGGATTGAATAAAAATGTACTTTTAATAGTGTCCTCAGTCATACATCTGGAATGGAAAGTCAAAGATTTTAGAGAAACTGAGCAAAATAAAATAGAAAACCAAAAGAGTTCCTTAACATTTTTGAAACAAATATATCCTTGAAGCAGGTTTGGATTACATGATTTTTGTAGGACTGAGGATAGATGATCAAAACTCAAAGTAGAACTAGATTTTATCATATGATCTGTATCATTAAGTTTCTTTGTTTCAGTTCTGAAGTTCTTGAAGCAATAGAAAATGTTATTCAAGATGTACTTAAAAGCTTGGCCCAAAAAAAAGCACCTGTTCTCACACTGGCTGACAGATCAGATTGGAGGAACATAGAGTAAGTATTTTATAGTTTAAAGTCCTGCCTTATATGAATATAAATTTGATTATATAACTACCAGAAAGTGTAATCATACATTGTTCTATAAGTATTAGAATCAATAGATAATTTTACTTCTTAAAAAGTAATGGACAAATAGAAAGTGATGCTTAGTAACCACTCTGCATGAACAGGCATCATGTATTAAGTAATAGCAGACCATAGCATAAAGGGTAATGTGAAACTACTGTAATAGGGGTTAGAAATGAAAGGGAGGTCCTATAAACAAATCATTTTCTGGAAGCAGTAGAAACCAGAAATTATAAATTGTGTTAAAGTGAAAAAAATCTGGTTTAGGCTGGGAACAATTACTAGCAATTTAATTCTCCCTTACTATGCTTCCTCTCTTCTTTTTCTCTGCTTTTTCTTGTAGTATCTTATTTCTTAAAATGACAGTAATAAACTTATCTTTTTGTTCATCAGAGAAGATGCATCTCACCTCTTTCTGTTGTATTCTTACCTCTGTGTTGTGCTCTAAATTCATAACCAGCCAAATACAGCAAACCAAGTTTCTACGGTGTTATCTAAATTTCAGATCCTATGCCAGTTTATCTAGATAGGATCAGAGAAAAAGTAACCTGTCCTCCTTTATAACACACTTTGTGATTTGTAGAAGCTGCTTGTGCAACAGTATTTTTCCAAGGAGCTCATTTAAACTGAAAATACCCGAAACTGAGAGATTAATTGCTTTTTTTAATACAGAAGCAAAAAGATAAAGGAAGACACAAATCTATTTCTTTCCCTGTAATAGCTTTGGATGTCAGTGAGTTAAAGGATATTTAGGTTGATAAGATTGCAGAGGTGCTTGTAAGTGGACACACTACAAACATCTGAGGTTGAGAAAGCATAGCAAACCTTCCACACATACCACTTTGGTGGAATACTCATTTAATGAGAACAATAAATTTCTGTCAATCAAAAAACCTGAGGAGCCTGAAGGTAATCAGTTAACTGAAAGGCTTGTATGTTCCAGGAAATTTAATGATTTGTGTCTTGATAGTTTGACAAAAATGTTTCACTCAGATGTTTGTAAAATTAAAATACTATAACAAAGTTTTGCAGTTTTTGGCAATCTTAAGGGAAATGGCATTCCAGGCTTGAAAAACAAATGCAAGATGTTATTTGCCATCAGAACACATAGGAGGAAAAACATTCAAATTAAAACAAGTTAACATCACAGTATGTTAAAAATAAGACTCATCAATCACATTAAAAAAGCTGAACCATTACTTATGGTGGAGAAATGTAATCTCAGATATGCACTTCTGTTGAATAGTGACCTATATCCCGCTATACAGCAGTTTAAGAAGATTAAAATTAAAATAGACATATAAAAAGAAAAACAAAATGGCAAAATATAATACGAATGGAAGAAAATACAGTCAGTGGGGCATTTTTTCCTCTTCTTTTAGGCAGCTTTTTCATACCTAATCAACACAGCTGGAATCTGCTGGGCAGAAAATAGTAGAGTGAGAGAATGATTTCATGTTTGAAATGTTCTTTGTAAACATTTGTAGATGCCCAGGGGTATTTACCTGAGAATTATGATAATCGGTGAGAATGCCAGGCCTTGAGTAGTACAATCAGTTTCCATTGTCCAGCTGTATCTTTCCAGAAAAACAAAACAAAACAAAACAAAACAAACAAACAAACAAAAAAAACAGTAGTGGAAAGAAGATTTTATAGAAAACTATTCTGCTGAGGTAAACACAATCCTAGGAAGAATTGCTAGATGTCCAACCTAGTGTCAGTTTGCAGTTGAAATATCAGTGGAAGCCGCATTGTTCAGGTTCCTCAGCATACTATTATCTGAAAGGAGTGTCCTTATTTAACCTGAGGAAGCAATCCCGTGGAGTGTTGATTACTGTTTTTCTCCCCTGTGGTTATAACGTAGGGAGAGTGCAAGTGAAAAGAACAAATACCTTTTAAATCTTGCAGCACAAAGGCAAGAAAGTTACCTTAAAACTGGCAGGCAGATGCACCGTGGTGTGTGTGTTCTGCCACCCAAAGGATGCACAGAGCAAAACCTTTGACAAAGAAACAGAAACGTTATGGGGGGTTAAATAAAATTATGGCCATTTTACCACCAATACTTTTTAAAAATACATACAAAACTCTGAAATTAAAAACCATGCTTTAAAGACAGGACTGTCGTGTCACCACAGGCACTAATTTTAAGTGTAAAGATGAAGTGTCATTAAGAAAAGAATTAATTCTTTTGGTGAAATGTGCACCTTCAGACATGAAAGGGTGAAACATGAAACGGTGAAGCTCATTTAGATTAAACAGCTGTTTAGAGGATAGGATGGACCACATTTTTGTTTCCAAAAGTTAATAATAAGATATAATTGAGTTATTCTGACAATTTAAGGGCATAAATCAGGTAATATTATTGTAATATGAAATAACTTTTTCATACATTCTACATCAGAAAGTCACTGTGTCAGACTTGATTTGTATTCTAATAATGACTCACATTTTTCCTGTCATTTATTAATTTGTTTTCATGCTAAATAATAATTTATGCTGATGCATTAACAGTTATAAATGTATATAAAATATTTCTGCTGTCTCTACTTTTGTCTGGAAAACTATGTATTTTAGGCTTAAATTCAGTCTTGAAACATCTTCCTGAGAAACCCTTTTAATGTTTTGAAGCCAAAGATCAGCAGTTCAGTAATGTTTTGAATGGGTCATTTTGGCAGATGATGACTACGGGCTGCCTTTTTCCTTTGTCCACTCCAACTCCAATCAAGTTGATGGTTTCTGTATGAGTCTGAAAATAGCACTAGCGTATTTGATTATAGGAAAGGGGTCTGAATAAGAATTTACAGTTTTATTGTATTTGTTTGCAATGTATCAGATTTAAAGATTCTGTAGGTCTACAGATGACACCACATTGTGCTACAAAACAAATAAGAAGTGATTGCCCTAGATCAGCACAAAAATTTGGTAAGTCAAAAAAGTCCAAAAGCAGAATTCTTGTTTTTTCTTGTATATTCTTGTATATTTTTGAACAAACCATAAATATATATATATAAAACGCACTGAAATTTAGAAGTGTATGGCTAATATAACCTGATACTATGACCAGCCCTTCAGCTTTTCTGTATTAAATTATAGTGAGTGACAGTGAAATTAATACAGCATTCTTACAGTTTCAACCCTCCCTGAATGAATGTCAGCTGAAAGCACGTTCAAAAGGTCATAATGCAAAAACATCACCGTTCTTCAGAAAGCTAGCTAGTAAAGCAATCTTGGAATACAGACAATAGGCTAATTTCTTTTTCTAACTCAGTCGTTTAATTTCTTGGCCTGGAGATCAGGGCATACATTCTCTCACTTAACTCCATCATATTTTTTCTAATTATGTTAGAAATTATTAAGTCTATTGATTAGTACAGTCTCTCTGTATTTTCACAGCACATTAAAATATGTTTCAAAGTTTTATTTTATGAGACACAAATATGGGTCATTATAAAGACAAATTATTGCATATGCATTTCTGAAAATTTATAAAATATTTGTGCATTGTATTTTTTCAGCTCTGATGCTCAAGATATTATCTGTGATCTATAAGATGGTACAGACTAATACTTATGCAACTAAAAGGTAACATACTGTATTTCTGTAATTTCAGATGAAGTTGTATTTTAAGAATGTTACTGTGAAAAACAGCCTGTAGAATGCAAACCCATAGGATAATGGATTCCTGTATGTAAAATGCTTTAGGTTGATCTGATTATCCATGCCCTCTATAAAATTCTGACGAGCCCACAGCTGTTTCAGTGTTATAATTACAAATACAATATTTTGTCTTGATAGAGATATATATTATTCAGATACACTACTGTTTGGTAGCCAAAGTGTTGTGGACAATATAATCAATGACATTTCTTGCATGCTTAAGATACCTCGGAGAAGTCTACATATAGTAAGTGGCTTATTATGAATGCTTTTATCATTATTTCCAAATCATATAGATTGAACGGAAGGGTGAAATAGCAAGAAAGGTTATCACTAGGAAATACATAGTTAAAATTAAAAGTATCATTTGTGCAAATGAAACCTAATTATGGTTTATCATAGCACTCAAAAAGTTTCTTTCTTCAGAGAAAAATCAGTTTTCTTGCTCCAAAGAGTTTGGGACTAACTGCCAGCTAAAATCACAGGGCCTTTTGCTATTATCTAGTGAAGGCAGTGCTTAAACTTCAGAATGCAAGACACCTGTTTAGCAATTTGTACTCAAATTATTTTGCCAACTTGGGTGTTAAATGAAAATTTAAAGTATGTTAGAGATGCAACAACCTTTCAAATTTACTTGTATCTCATGCCTTACAAGAATTCCTTTGTATCTAAATATTCAGTTGTTAATGTAATTTACTATAAGTATGCCTTTATGTCCATGATGACAACAACATTGCTTAGTGTTTAAAAGGTTGATGGCGGTCAGTAACTGCTTATTACTGGTCAGAATTATTTTCAGAAGTTTCTTGTTTTACCTGGCCAATATAGTAACACTACAGCACGTAACTTCCCATTTATTGTATACAACCTACTGTTTTTTTTCAGCTGTCTACAACTAAAGGTTTTGTTGCTGGAAATTTAAGTTACACTGAGGAAGATGGTACAAAAGTGAATTGTACCTGCAGTGCAACAGTATGTATTATAAAACAGTAACAGTCATTCGTAGCATCTACCTTAGCATGATATCCTGCACTTCTTGTAGCTCAGGCTACTGTATACATTTATTATACAGACCTGTGCTTGCGACAAATTGAGACATTAGAGCCTGGGTGAAAAAAGAGAGATAAAAAGTATTGTTCAACTGTATTGCAATTCCGAAGCTCAGCTATATACTCACAAGGAATATATCCTTTGGATATGTTTTTTAGCACTACCTTCTACGATGGGAGCCTTGCAGAGGAAGGTGTATATATTGTGTATCTTAGGCTTTATATTACAGTGTTCTGTCAAATAAGTGCTCCAAGTCTAAGAACCCTGGGCACTCTGAACATACTTCACTTCTGTCACAATAGATTGATTTCTGGCAGAGTAAGAAAACAAGTCTTAAAGCCTGAGTTGACATACTCATATGGTCCTCAGTCCTCAGTGAGCTGCTTCTGCCACACTGGGCAGACTCCTCAAGTGGCAACAGCACAGATGAGAGACTGAACTGAACCTCTGTAATTAGAGAAGGCAATGTTTTTCTGGACCCAAATTACGTTCTCATTTACAGAATTTTAATGATGATACTCCTCAGCATAAGAGTTGATATTTTCTTCATGTGCCCAGCACTGCACAACCAAAGGTGTATAATATCAGGCTGTTTGGTTTCAGGATTTTCATTTATACAGGAATTACAGACATTAGATGGGCTTGTATTGTCAACTAATTTTATCAGAGTTGGCACTGAGCTAAAGAGAAGTTTATAACCACGGTTATAAAGTCAAGAGCCAAAAGTGGTTTGAGGAGATGAGATTCAACTAATATAGTCCTGAAAGATTTCCTATAGCTGTGCAGCATATGAAGGCAGGAACAGAACTCAGACTTGCTGACTGTTGTCATGATTTCTTGGAAAATGTGCTCATTGTAAGCCTAAGTAGGTAATTTCAAAATGGAAAGATAAAGCTTAGCTGTCTGTTATAGTTTGTTTTTAAGCAGAGCATAAAGTCCCCTGTTACTAATGCTCATCTATAGCTCTTCGTATTTTTATTTGTTGAGTTGTTCCACCCTGGCACCGGAGGTGATTTAGCAGTCAGAAGTAAAACCAGACCACACACTTCAATATATACATACTCTTTTGCCAAGTTCTTCCTACAGTTCCTGTTTTGTTATCCATATGCTTGCCAGATTGAGCCAATCCTAATATGAGATGTAAACATTACTGTGTCTTCAAGTTGTTGCTCCAAAATACTTATAAAATCAGGTTATAGGTTAATAAAGGATTTAATAGTCTTCCAAAAAGAATACTTAAGTATTTTAAGCCTGTATTAAGTTTGCAATCTTCACACCAAGCTGACTTTTTTTTCTGGCTAAAACAGATAAAAAAAATTAATCAGGACATTGTTGTCTCTGTAATGCCCACATGATGAGCAATCTCCTGTGACAGTAGCACAAACACTCTTGAAAAGCATCTTGTTATAATAGGAGGATAACTACACAACCATAAAATAGAGCAGGATATGAATGGTTGAGTACACTTAAAAAGAGGTGAAAATGTCAAGATTGATCTTTTATACAGAAGATGAATGGTTGTTTTAGGATGTAATTGTGTCTTTCATTACCTAATATTGTTATTTTAAAATATATCATTTTCTCTATTTAAAATTATTAATCTCATTTTTGTTGTTTTAGGCAGTCACTGTACCATCTAATGTTCAAGGAATTAAAAGTATCCTTTCAGCAAGAATTCTCATTGTAGACTGAAAAAATAAAGTAAAACCAAAGAATATTCCAAGTTAAACAACGTTCTGGTAATTTTTTCTTTGCTTGTTGGCTCTGAAATTGAGTCATGAACACTGCTTTTGGCTCCAGAACAGGTCTTCTAGAGCATTTAGTTTTAATTGATTGGTGTGATGGATCATTTTACATGCAGCTAGCCTTAACAGAAAAGATTTAATCTCACACGCCAAATTTATGTTAATTGTAGAAAAAGATGCAACTTTTCAGAGACTTCTGGATGATGACTTCTGCAATAAATCGTCCCCATGTATAATGATTACGGTATGCATCTTACATTTCATATCGTTTAGCTAGATGTAAGAATAAAGCTTTAGCATTGTAGTGGTGCTCAAATGTGGTCAAAAGACCATAATGAAATTAACATGAAACGTGTCTAACAAAATTTTTTACAATTTTATTATCCTCATAGAAATACAAAATACACATTCTAAAGACTTACTTCCTCCAAACATCTCCTTAGAGCTTCATAGCTTATCAACTTCATGTGCCGCTGAAAAGTAGTTGCCCCACTCAGTCTCAGAAAGGCTTAACTGTTTGGTGATCTTTTGTCCTTCAGGATCCTAAGTTTAGCAAACCCAAATGAAACAGCATCGGTTGATTTTTGGATTCTACTGGAAGAGCTGTGGAGCCTGGAGAATAAATAGGAATGTGTAAATGGAATATGCATACCTACTTGTTCTGGGATAAATTTGGCCCACAACGAGGAAAAAACATATCCCCATGCCTAAGAGAGATAACCATTGATACCGTGCAGCATATTGTCCAGTTATAGTCAGTCATAACAAGAACTTGTTTTATATGGTTTCATTAGTGTCGTAAATGTTTTTGAGAAGAAAGAAGTGGCCTTCTTACACCAGCTTATACAGATAGCAGGGTACATCTATACAACTCCCTTACCTTACAAACTCCTTAAATAGATGAATGTATGACACTTCCACAGTGCCTGTAATCCTGAGCATCTGCCGGGCTCTCCCCAGCCCGTTCCTCCTTCCCTCCTCACAGAGCCAAAACAGGAACAAGGAACCTTCCCTGCAAAATAGCTGCTGGAGAAATACTTCTGCCAGCATTTTGTTTGTTTATTTGCTTGCTTTTAAATGACAAATGTAAACATATATGTAGCCAGATGTTGTTTTAATTAGTTTAAAACTGCTTTTATTTCCTTAGGGAAGAGGCGTACCAGATCTTAATACACGACTTTTGGTCAGAAAGCTGTGGGATTCTTTTCAAATTCCTGTTTTCACCCTCATGGATGCAGATCCACATGGTAAATCTGTAGAGCTTCAATGACATAAAAGTAAAGCAAAATTTATTTAGAATGTATTGTCTCACTTTTATGGGAAGGTACTCAGAGCACAGAGTTTCAACATAATCCTGATTTATGCAGAATTTATGCAGAATATACCTAGGAGTAAGAAAGAAGTTGCAGAGATTTGTTGTGGTTTGAGGTATTAATAAGAATCTTACCTTGTACCTAAAAAG